AATGCCTTTAGGTGTAGATATTTTTGAACCAATATCATTGTTGAAATGCTATTTTGGAGTCGATTGGACCATCCTGCGTTTTGGATGACCTTTGAATGGCACTTTTGGATTTGTGTCCTTTGGTATCAATTGTTTGGGATGAAGAAGAGCAATGCTAAACTATATTGTTTTTCTTCCCTTGAATGGTACTACTAATACGTCCCTTTCTTTTCTTTTTCTATTATTTATATTTCAGGTGTAATTGAAGTTCTGGTGAATAATGGAAGGCAGATTGATGCAGTTAACATGGCTTTTGCATTTGATCTTACAGAGCAGTTCTCACCTGTACCTTTACTGAAATCCTACTTGAAGGAGGCAAGAAAAGCTTCCTCACCTGTCAAGCATGGAAATGCCTCAACCAGTGCTCAGGTGTGTTCTTTACTCCACTACTTCAAGGTGATTGGTTTGCCTAATGATGTCTGAAGATCTTTAGGTTGACCATACCTTAATCGTTTGTTTGAGGGACAAGCACTTATTTTTGGTTTGGCCACAAGGCCTTGTCCAAAGCAGATTGGATTGGCTTTCTGGCTAGTTAGCCATTCTAACGCACTTGGATCTTGTATGATCACAAAGGATGATTTGGCTAGTTAGTTCCTACTTCAATAGATTTCAGCAACCAGACACTATTTTGGCAGCTAAATTGTTTAACATCTATTTGCATGTGGTCCGTGAAGGCAATTTGCTCTAGCAACTTGAATGCATGAGAATATTTTGCCAAAATTCATGCTTATGAGCCTTTTCTTTTTAATTTTTCTACTGCATTTTGGAAAATGGCTGAAATATTTTCTTCTGTGTTTCAGATTGAGGTTAGCGAGCGAGAGTTGACTGCTCTGAAGGCTGTCATCAAGTGCATTGACGAGCATAATCTTGAGGAGCGATACCCTGTTGATCCACTTCAGAAGCGGCTTCTCCTGTTGGAGAAAGCTAAGGCAGACAAGAAGCGGGCAACTGAAGCTGCAAAGCCTCAACCCAAGAGACCTCGTGCCAGCGGTGCAGGACATGGTCCCCGAATCACTAACGTAGCTGCTGACAAAATGTTCTTTCCTAGAGTCACTGACAATAGGTACCTGCAGTACGTTTATGACAGACCCTATGTTTACCCTGGACCTCCTGACAATCAAGGCCCCTCTCTTCTTGGTTCTGCCACTTACAACTTCTCTCCCAGTCATGGGAACTACTTTGGAAATGGCTACCAGTATCAGGCTCCGTATCTTCACTAATTTCCGAACATGGCAAAAAGGTGACTGATCCGCTCACTTTAGCTGTTAGCCTTAACCTTCCACTTTGCAGTGTATGAACGGATGTAGTACTAAAAACAACAAAAAAATGTCTCGTTAATTTTAATCTTGTGTACACGAAGATATTTTGATCCTCTAATATATGCACTCTGTTTTTGTATGTATATCCTCTGTTTTATTCTTTTGAATTTTGTTTCTCTTTCTGTATGGATTGGTTGTTCTTATCTTATATTTAGTTGTTGGCTACTCTTTTATTGGGAGAAGATTGGGTGGACTCGAAAGAAGATAAGCAATCTCCGTTGGATGCTGGTTGCTGTAGTACTCAATCGGGGAGGAAAGGCTAATTGATCATATATGCTGGAGGCCAGATGGAGTCATAGTTGGCATGGCCAGCTCTGCGAACAACAGATGAAATAGATGAGGGGAGCATTTATAAACAAAATTACGGAGGTTCACTTCTCGATGGTTTCAAAATTTTATTATTGTTTTTATGCTTCACATGAAGGGTCTAAATTTAAGAGAAGTTTGATATCACTTATTCATGTTTGAAAAAAAAAAAAAACAATTTAAATTAGAAGAGAGCATTTGATCGGTTTGATCTTAGAAGTTCGAAAATTAAATCAATCAATTTCCCTTGAAATATTCACTTCAAATAATCGATGGAATAGAATTTTAATATCAAATTAAAATGATTACCAGAATAATCAAAATTGATTTTATTTAAGTTGGTCTGTTCAATTAGTTTTAATTATTAAAAAAACAAATTATATATTATTATATGTTTTTATTTTATATTATATAAATGATATATTATATTAATACATATAATTTAAAAATATTATATAACATATGTTATATTTATATTATATAAAAAAATATAATTAATTAATAAAACTCAATAAATCAAATCAAATTAGTACTTTTGATTAATTTTAATATCGATACATTGATACAAAATAATTAATGCTCGTTCCTAATTCAGATAATCTCGATATATTTAGTGATATATTAAACAACTAATTGAAATATTTTTTATCCTGTAACAATACCTTAATTAAGATACTTATAGCTATAATTATCGATTATACATTAAATCTGTTATAATTTTTATTAGATAAAGGGAATCATAATTTTAAGACGCACGTTGCATGAATGCAACAATTGGCGCACCAAAAAAATTTAGCGTATGAAAATTATCACAACTGATCATTAATAATTAAACTTGAATCAAAATTAACTAATTTTTTCTTTCATTGGATTTGAATGCTATTTTTCCAATTTAAGTCTCTTTTATTATTATTTTTTTAAACTCCGTCAATAGCACTCTTCCGCATTCAAAAATTCACTTGCATCTCAATTTTTCCCGCCAGAAAAAGAAAAAAAATGAGAATCGCAGAAATATCAACGCCGGAGCTCCGTCAACCCGCACACGACCCGCAATCCCCTTCCCACCACCAACACAATCACCTTCTTTCTCAAATCGAATCTAAAATCAAACAAACCGAGACCATCCACCCGCGAGTCAGCTACCCGGTTCGATCCCTTCCGATTTCCGCCAACTCTTAACTCACCTGACTCAACTCGCTCCCTTCCCCGCCAACAACAACTCTCTCAAACTCCACCTCTGGAACGCCTCTGTCGACCTCTCTAACTCCGCAGCCATCTGCTCTCCGTCCTCCAATTGCTCTCCTCAAAATGTCGCTAAGCTTCGCCACGTGGCAGCCGAAATGCTCTCTCTTGAGGCCGACGTCGTTGGTGTCCCTTCTCCGGTGACAAAATCCGCTTCTTTCTATTACAAGACCGGTCTCGTATGGCACGATCTAAAAATCTTGGATCCAGCTTCTACATGCTTCGAGAGAGCCATGGATCTTATCTCGAAGCTCGATATAAGGAAAATATCGGACGCAGGAGACATGAAGCTTCTTTTAGATCTGAATCTAGCGAGATCTTGCACCGCATGGGAGATTTCCAATAAAAATCTCGCAATAACGCTACTGAACCGGTCGAAAACTGTCCTTTTCAGTTCAGCAGTCCACTTCAAAGCTCTGGCGAATCAGTTCTTAGCTTTCGCTTAAGCTGATTTATCAAAAAACCGGAAACGACGGTAGCTTCAACGAATGGATTTTCTGCTGAAACATTTCAAGAGTGTATGAATCTATAGAGAGAGAAAGAAGGGTAACAAGGATATGTTGTATTTTTTTATATATATAATATATTGTAATTCTAAAATAAAAAAAGGGATTATAAATATTGAGTTTGAATTTTTAAATTTATTAAATTTAAATAATTATATGAATTAATTGAATTAAATTTAGATTTTATTTGAATTATTAATTAATCAAAATGTTTAGATGTGATTTTTTTAATTATATATTTGATATAGTATTAATATATGAATTCTATATCATATACTATCACCCGTTAATAAGTAAATTAAAAATTTTTAATGTACTTTAAAAATAAATAATATATAAATTTTAAATACTTAATTTTTTTTATTTAAGCTTTAGGAAAAGTTTTAAATAAAGTTCTTAAAGTAAAGTTCATGCAAATATTTATTAAAAATTATTAAATAAAAATTAAAATTAAAAATTAAAATTCATAAATTGAAAAGTCTTGTTATATAAATTAAGTTTGTAAAGTTTTTAAAAAAATTAAATAAATTTTGATATATTTTTTATAAACATTTCTAATAACAAATTTAATAAAAATTTTATCATAAAAAAATATCAATTAAATTTGATTTATTAATAAAATTTTAAATATTTTTTATATATTAGTAATCTTTATGTTAAATTTTATCAATTTATTAATTTAAATTTTTATTAAATCAATTTTTAAAAAACTTCACAAATTTTCCTTAAAAAGTTTCATCTAAATTTTATCTAAGTTTTGTTCTAAGTTATAATACACTATTCATATTTTAAAAAGTTGAAGTCAATTTTACAAGTCTCTCACGTTTGACGTTCCCCATATGTTACAAGTCAATTGAATAGTATTTATTAATAAGATTGATGAAATAAATTTGACATAAAGCGAAACGAACGCATGGATTGGGCCTATAAATAATAGGGAGAGAGGGATGCCATGTTTAACCAAAATACCCTAAGATGAGGACATCATTTGTTCCATGGATTCTCTTGGCTTCCCTTATCTTCTTTCTTACTTCCATCTTAGCTTGGTACTAATGGATCCGTAAATTTCAATTTAATTTCAATTTTCTAATTTTAAAAATGATCCATAAATCTTAATTGAGACATGGACATTAATAAATTCATATATCTCAATTAATTGATGATTTGTTCTGATTTTAGAAGTGGAATAATTTTTCTCACTCTTAAATTTTTTTTCAATAAAAAAAACACGAGAAATTTAAACTTAACTCTTGTGATAAAGAAATATATTTATTATTGTATCAAAAACTTAAATGTATTATATATATATATTGTGTCTTAAATTAAAAAGGGCAATGATTTAAAATTTAAACAATTTGCTGTTGTTTATTTAACATTGTACTAAATTAATAAAGCCTCTGAACTACTGATAATGAAAACTAAACGCAAATTCTCCCCATCTCAAAGAGAAAAGTATGTACATTGTCCTTTGGTTTTGTGACTTCTATCTCAAACTATGGGGAGGGATATCATTTCGAAGTGAAAAAGAAAAATGTTTTATAAACAGCCACCAGGCTTGGATTATATAACATGTGAGCATATTTGGTACTATGGATAAGGGATAAGATTTCACACATCTTCCATCCAATCAAAACTATGCAAAATTAGCACCTTGCCCTTCGCAGCCACAACTTTCCCACCAATTGATACTCCTTGGCCTATTCATTCGGAAAATCTCTTCGCTCAATCTATCTGGGCTTGTATTAGTACATAATTCTATTTCTAGTTTCTCTTCTGAGTTTTTTTGATTAACAAAATCAATCAATGGCTGCCACTGCTTCTCCAATGGCCAGTCAGCTCAAAAGCAGCTTTACATCATCTGTTACGAGAGGACTGGTAGTCCCCAGGGGCATTTCTGGAGCTCCATTCAGAATGTCAGCCGGCAAGATCGGGACTACTCGCTTCACTGTTAAAGCTATTCAAGCAGACAAGGTAAGCGAGTGCTTGTAAAAACCTTCTTCTCAATGGTGTCTGGTCCCTGATCATGTTAGTGTTAGGCAAGTGAATGAGTTTGATCATTTTCCTTTTTCTATGCAGCCAACATATCAAGTAATTCAACCCATCAATGGTGATCCCTTCATTGGAAGCCTTGAGACTCCAATTACATCAAGCCCCTTGATCGCTTGGTACCTGTCCAACCTCCCAGCCTATAGAACAGCAGTGAACCCACTTCTCAGGGGTATCGAGGTTGGTCTGGCTCACGGCTTCCTCTTGGTGGGTCCATTCGTTAAGACTGGCCCTCTAAGGAACACAGCTGTTGCAGCTCAAGCTGGGTCATTTGCAGCTGCTGGTCTTGTTGTGATCCTCAGCATTTGCGCGACAATGTATGGCGTTGCATCATTCCAGGAAGGAGAGACCTCAACAGCCCCAAGCCTAACCCTGACCGGTAGGAAGAAGGAGCCTGACCAGTTGCAGACTGCGGACGGATGGGCTAAGTTCTCTGCGGGATTCTTCTTTGGTGGAATCTCTGGTGTCATTTGGGCTTACTTTCTTCTCTATGTCCTTGACCTTCCTTACTTCTTTAAGTAGATGATATCTAGATTTTACTTTGTTCTGTTACTAGTTCTTTGTTACTTAATGTAAATCCATGCATTTTGGCAATCAATATCAACTATCAAGTGATTGTCACTCAATGTTCTTGTTAAGATATGTTATTGCATGAACAAGTTTCTCTTTAACTGCCACAATCAGCTGCCAAGAAGCCATAGAGAAGACGGAGAATTAAAGGTCACTGCCAAATTGTGGCACTAAGAATTTGAATTTGAATTGATTAATTTGAAAGTCAAAGATTTGGTTTGGTTTTGGATGCATAAAATCTGAGGTTTGATGTCAAGTAAATGAAAAAGTTAATTAGAACCCAAGCCACCCTTACAATCATGAGGATTCTCAGAAATTCTTAAGAATTCTATCTTGAACCGCGTTGGTAATCAACATGTCTGACCTCCTGTAATCTTTTTTACTATTTACATATGACGACGAACGTGTTTTGTAAAAACAAATTCCATCTCCATAGGCTGTCAATCAAGCAAAGGAAAAGACACATTTGCATCCCAAAACTTGGTTGAAATATATAATAACTATCTTCTACTATATCAAATTAATTATATATTCAAAAAATTCAGGAGAATTCTTTCTTCCCACATTTAAAGTTCTCAATTGAAGTTAGAATGAGACATTCAAATACCACTAATCATGAAGTCTTTCCAACGCCAAATGAGAAAAAAAAATTAATATAAGACTAGTAATTAAGGAGAAGGGGCTTAAACCATTGGTGATCAGAAAAAGCAGCAGCAGCAGCAGCAGGCCTCGAGGCACATCCAGGTGAACATTACGAAGAAAGCTCATCAACTTGTTGTTTTTGTCAATGTTAACCGAAGGTAAACCATCCTTAAATTGGAAGAGGATGAGAAGCAAAAGCAACGGCAAGACAAAAGTGAGCAGCTGCAGGATGATCATCCATTTCTTCCACTGAGACTTGTAGTCTGAAACATATGGAAGCAATAACAAAAGGAAAACGATGCATGAAATAGTGATCAAAGGCAGAGTAAGTCCCATGAACATTGTGGCTTTTGGCTCTAGCTAGGGCTTTTGACTTTGCTTAATGCTTAGCTTTAACCTAGGGGCTTCCCATTTAATTAATTATATATAGCTTCTATTAACAAAAACCAAGCCAGCTAGCACTTTTATTTATGGAAGTCTAAGATTTAGAGGGATTTGCGTATCTTTATGAAAAGTATATTAGCCAGCGGCGTTTGAATAAATATTTAATGCAGTTAGTTCATAAAATTAATTTGATAATATGCAACGATCTAAGTTTTAAATTTCAATACCTCTCAACCGCCTAAAAAGGCCTAGAAGTTGATGCTGATTCTGCTGAACCAAATCGAATGCTGGTTTTGTAGGGAAAAACTTCTTCAAAACAGAAAATGAAAATTTAAAGTTCTTGTGAGTTAAAATTTACAAATGATATTCATATAATTCAACTAATAAGGTGTTTTCGAAATATATATATATCTATCCATTTGAATACCAATCTTTGACCATTGATGGATCTGCTAATTACTTTTTAAGTTTGGTCATGTAGAGAACATGGTAATATATTTTGTAATAGCAATAAATTAAGAAATTTTTTTTATACACGTTCAGGAACCAATTTCTTCCTGTAATCCTCTTTATATGAGCATCACTGCTGCTTTTTTTTGTCATTGTTGGTATGGATCAAACCAGCAATTATCTTGCTTTACAGCTCTCTTCCATCTGCTTTTGAAGACCTCTAATTCAATGAAGGGTTGCTTTTTAACATGTGGAAGAGAATTTTATAGACAATGAATTGATGAATGCCAAGAGTAGGTCCGGCCATAACTAGCTATAGAGTGAAGTGAGCTTGGACTTTGCATAAAGAGTAAGTTCAAGGCTTACCTCAGATCTTCCATCAGGTTCCCTGGAAGTTGGTAGCACCTGCATGTTTTGACTTGAGAAATAGATCTGATTTGGGTTAGATCAGGCTAGCTGAGAATGGTGTACATTGGACTCGTACAATTATCAACCATAAATGGGGTTTATACAGATTGGAATGCCTCAGGTAAAGAACTACTTGTGCAGTATAGTCAATAATCCACATTCTTGATGAAGAGAGTTTGCTTTTCATTATCGAAGATTTGGTGTGTAATAAATGAGGAAAGCCAGTGACTTGAAAAACTCAAGGCTGACCTAGTGGCTGTCTCTCTAGCCGTCTAATGCACAATCAAGGTCTAAGGTTCAACCCCTCACCCCTTCTCCCCCCTTGGACTTTTCCATATGTACTAAATGAAAAAGCATATATATATATATATGTATGTATGTATGTATGTATGTATGTATGTATGTATGTATGTATCCAAGAGAGCCTTTGGAAAATTGTAGATCCATCTCTGGATTAAGTTGAGGCAGAACCAGACCAAAAATTAAACTTTGGAGCACTTCCAGTTGATTAATCAAATTGAGAAGCCATTTTATAAGTTGGTCTTATTTAACAAAGTTTTGATTAACAAAGTTTCTTACCTTGTTTGCTGCCAAACCTCCAAGTATAGGAAGAGCATTGTGAATTACATACTCAGCATCAACAATTCCAATATTTTGGGTTCGATCACCCCGTCAAATAAAGCTTCATAATAAGAAACATGTTGAAAAGACTGGATAAGAACCTTTTTTCCTTAAAGTTAAAAAAAAATGAGGAGAGACATGATTGAAGGCATAGAGAGAATGCCTGTGCACAGTAACCAAGCTGAAAGTCCAGTCCCCATCCATAAATCAGGTTACTCTAATACAAGGGAAAACCAAGAATGAGAAGAAAGACAAATTTAATGGCTAAGCTTTGTCAAACAATACGGCCACATTAGACGGGCTTTTAAAGAATTCTGAAGTTTATTCATGTTGGACCAGAACCATACCACTGGCTATTAGGACCTAAGCTGCATTGATTCAATCAAACAAGAAATGATACATCTCCAACCTTGCTATTAGAATTTTGAAATATACAAACATCCTGACTATCCCTGTTTTATCTTTTATTTGAGCCATTGAAATTAATAATGTAGCCACTAAGTAATAAAATACTGATGATTGTTTATTGGATTCTTCTCGGCCTCTTAATGTTTTCTATTAGTATTACCCTCAACTTTCTAATTTGGATAACATACCTGAATCATACGCCATGCACAATGCCAAGATGCTCTGGAGAAAAGAGGAACCATCATTTCTACAAACCTGTATTAAGCAATGTTCTCTTTCTTTTCTTCCATGTGAATAGATAATTAAGTTGCATATTGAGAATCAATTCATGGGAACTTTAAACTAAGGAAAGAGTTGTATTGTACTTATTATAGTATTATGAACTATCAACAGAAAAAGACAGACAAATCTATATTACCCTGTGCAAGGAGGACCCATGCTGTTTTCATTACACCTTGTCCTACCAATGACCTTGTATGTCCTGTTAAATCTACACAAGTTACAAATATGCTCAGATAAGTTTAGTTTGAGTAAAATCAAGGGATAAAAGTGATGATGTGCTTCCATAAATTATTGACAACAAAAGATACAAAGTAATTTATTACTAGGATAGGCCACTCAGCTCCATACATTCAATTAACTGATAGTAAAAGCACTCCAATATTATCATGAGACCAAATCTTTCCTCATTCTTGAACATAATTTTCTTAGGAAGATAGAGAACCTGTGTACTGTAGAGTTTTTGTCCCCATCTGTGATCGGATGATGTAGCCCTGACTTCTCACGACCAAGTGCCGGCTGTGATATTTCAAGCCCTTCCTTTTTAATTATTGCAAGATATCTGTATTTAAGTAATTGAAGAGAATCAGTTTTTGAATGGTTATGAAGTAAATCACTAACTTGTCTCCCTTCTTCAAGTTTAAAAGATGATGGGTTTGGGAAAAAGTCCATTTTATTTAGTTGGCATTAATTGTTGAATAGAATTTTCTCATCCCGTAGCTGCAGGGTAAGCCTTGATGAGCCATTCAATCAAACTCCAGTTTCTTACAATTAGATTTGGTTTTTGTGTCGGTGAAGCAGTAAGAATTTGAACAAATGTATATGTTTTTACAAGCATGCAAAAGATTGTATGAAATCACTAGCAAGGAAGTTAAATGTAAAAAAGCAAGACTTGCACAACAAACCTTTTAGCATTAAAGCGGTCAATTTCAAGGTCTTCATCCCACAGGAAGATGTAGGAATACTCTGAAACGATATCTGCATGTATGAGCTGCTTTGCAAACCACGTAATTCGTGAGAGCGCATTAAACAATGCCAAGTTACATGGAACTGAAAAGACATGCATAAAAGATGTTTCAAATCTGGAGCTAATGATCATTTACCACTTGGTTTGATTGACAGCAGACACATGTATAGCACAGTCATTCCACTCTAAGTCCTTCCACTGGTCCACAATGCCATTGTAATGGAAAAGCATCTTGACAAAATCACTATCTGGAAACTGTGACATGGAATAAAAGGAGGGAAAAAGAGATGTACGATACAAATCTAACTCAAATAATGCAACAAAAGAATGATATTTAACATAAATCTCAAATAATAACATAAAACATAAAGTCTGGTCCTTTCACCTTATTGATGATTTTGTTGACACTTTCTTTTTGCTTTATTCCAACTGCAATGGCTAACAAGTTCATTGACAACTTTGGCTTCTAAACAAAAGTAGAAGATAAGAGATTAAAGAAATAGCTATATGCCAAATCTCGATTATCAAATCAACTCAACATGTTGAAGGTAACAAAATACAAATCATACCACTGAACAGCAGTGTTCTGATACAGGATGCAAACTGAGAAAGAAAGGGGAATATGTTTTTCCTCATTACTTTATACTGCCATAGAAACTGCATTTGTGGTCAAATTTAACAACCATAAAGACACATATTTGAAAAAGAAAAAGGTAAATAAAAACACAGGGTTAGCCACAAGTGTGCAAGAATATATATTAGCCAGATAGCACTAAAGAGTCTATGAGCTTATCACAGTTTGACCAGAAAACCAAGTCCAATTAGTATCCTCATCTTTTTTTACCATTGGTAGTGATCTGACAGTTTGCAGCTGTTACCTCTTGTAAAATTAAAATGCATGAGAGATTCCAGATCAAACGAAACAAACAGGGGTGAAGTTGCACAAAGCAGATAATAATGGAGGTCAGAGTTTAGTCAGATAGGGTAGTTTAATTGTGCTAACATGGTGATAAAAACAGAGATGACACTGACACATGCAGATCATCTCAGCTTACAAAATGCTCAACTGAAAGGAACAAATGCAAATCCAAAAGCCACTAATCAGACTAAACTGTAGTTAAACATGAAATAAGAGAAAGAATATGATCATTAGTTAATACCATCTTGCAAAAGGAACAGTACTTGTGCAGCCATAATGATTTAGAAGACAAACTGAACAACTGGAAAAATTTTAATGCACTGTCATTTGGGGAATGCAGAACCAACAAAGGATCAATGATGCCATTGATATTAGCAACAAAGCTGCTTACCTGATTATTCTGTGGGCCCCATAATGGCTGCATTTCCAAGTCAGATGTCTTAGAAATAATTCCTCTAGGTAATGCCTCACTTCCATAAGCCCTGCACTGGGTCTAAGCACAAGTGATAAAGAAAAAAGAAATAGTTAGGAGAATTTTGTGTTTCTAGAAAAGGAGAACATACATAACATATACCAAACAAACCTCACATATCTTAGGTCTTGTAAACTGCAAAACCATAACTGATCCCCATCTTTAAATTCTCTGCACAGAGAAGGCCTCAAATCACACATTATTTACTTCATTATGGGAAACATAATGCAGTTTTATATGCATGAAAGGGTTGGTATGGAGTTTTTGATTCCTTACGTTAATAACTTGGATTAAAAACTTTCTTAGGTGTATTTGGAATGCATGAATTATAAAAAGAAAATAATAAATGCGGATGACAAAAAGGAAAAGAAGTAACTTCTGATGTCAGAGAAGTCAAGAGGAAACCTTCGCTGCTTTTTCAGGTTTGAGTAGTTTTCAACTTTGAGCAAACAGGGCTTAGACATGTACACCTTTTTATAGTCTTTGACCATAAATGCACTTCCTATGAAGAAGGCTACAGACAGTAAAAGAATCATGGGAAGGAATCGATGAATAAATAATCTCTGTCTTTTAGGTTCAGCCTTCGGAAATTTCTGAAAGAAAGAGGAAACAAAGAAGATAAGACATGATAAGGTGCAAAATTATTTTCAATTCTGCAATTATATTTACAGTTGGAATCAGCAATTAAAAATGAGAAACACAGAATTTTGTCTTCCCTGACAGTAATCCAGGCTTCCAAGTACAGGTAAAGACAGCAGCATAGCTTTTGCATGCAACCCTAAACCCTAAGTCCATCTCCTACACCACCTCTAGCAAAACAATTAGTCCCAAGCATAATTTCAGGATACAAAAGGCGTTTGTTAAAGCAGGTACCGGTGTGATAAGTTGTTAAATTCCTCAAGAGGCAAAACTTGCAAAAGAAAAGGACGAGAATGCATCCACTAAGAAAATTTGTAAAACTTCTGTCCACTAAAAAAGTGGTATTGTTGATCATTAAAATCTTCACTAATATTGATAATCCTGTCAAAGCTCGAAGCTATAATTGCTCCTCCCTCCACACCACCAACCAAAAAAAAAAAAGAAAGATAATTAGTATCGATGAATTGATTATAATTGAAGATGCATACAACAGTCCATGAGTGAGAAAATTCTTATACTAAGTCAACCTCTGAAGTCATTCTTATCAAACATGCAAAGTTAATTGAACAACAAGCATTGAACAACTTCCTCGGAGTGACTAATAAAGGTAGATCAGCACTCAAGATATATTTATATTATTGTGGTTGGGTCAGGGGGGAAGGGTCAATAGGGCATCATCAAGAATGCAGTTAAAAACTTTTAATTTTTCATTTTCATGAAATCAAACATCCAAAAATAAGCAAGCCTAAAAAAATGCTATGCATGATAGTCTGGAGCCAAATAACCAATCATCAAAATTGATAGTAGTATAGTCAGATCATGGATTCGTAAACAAGATACAGCAGCGGCATTAGGGTCTGGAAGGCACCGAAGTAAATATCATTGGGAAAGGAAAGTTTTCTTTCATGCAATTGCCCTAAGTTTTTCTTGATTTTGATGAATTCAGACTGTTTGGTGTATCCACTTATCAGATCAAACTTTTAACTGACTGGATCATTCGGTCTCAACTCTAATGCATAGTATAACTCAAAACTCATAAGCCACCATGTTTTCTGTTTGATTTGAAAACTCATTTCTCAAAACACTTCAATGGAATTCTGGAAAGAAAAATCATCTTTCCTCCCTGCATTGCTAAAGTAATTCGTGCTCATGGTATGACTCTTACACTGAGTAATAACATTTTATTGAAAGTGACATGGGATTTTAAATGATATCACTAAACACAAAAATGGGGAAGCCCCTGTGCATCATCTTTAAGAACACAACAATAATAAAATTAATTACTTGGCATTTTCATGCTTCCAAGCAGTGCCACAGTTTAATAAAGATGTTATTTTCATTTTTATTAAAAACAATCCTTATACCCTGATCCAACTCATTAACATGATCCAATCCTTTCCATAAACAAGCAAAGCATGGAATGGTTGGCCTTCATTTCTAAATCGGTAAACTTTTTCTTTCCTTGACTCTTTTTGAGCTCAGGACCATATAAACTGGATCAATCATATGCAACTTGTGAACAATCATAACATAAACAGTTAGCCAACAACTTCTACTCAACACTTCTATTCAAAGTGCAAATGAAACAAAATCAAACCGACAAAAAAATACTCCCAACATCATTTCCAAAGCCAAAGTGCAAAACCCACAAATATTTTTCCATGATTACTTTAGGAAAAAAAAATAGTTTTATCAAAACCAAGAATCCCAGCAAACAGAATAATAACGTGCATTGAACAAACATGGGGCAGAAGAAAAATAAAGAGAGAGAAGCTTACGGAAGTCGACATCCTTTTCTTCATCTTGATCTTCCATTCAATCCTTTTCTAACCAGTCTCTAAAAACGAAGGAAGAAAAATGCGGAATCGTCAAACCATCTTACCACCGTTGAATGGTTAACGGACTTTAGCACGTTAGTCCCCATGCCGGGTAGTAGGAGGCATTTGTTTTGTTGTGAGCTACCAAGTCTGACAATAAGCGTCGACATGCGTCAAGCTTTGCCTTTGAGCAAAGACCAGACGACAAGTTTACTTTTCAAAATTAAGTGGACACTGTGGAAAGTTAACCCTTGGTCGACAACATATATAATTTTTTTTTCAAATAAAACTTATTTGTGATGGACTTTAACATATAATTCATTCCTTTGAAACTCTTTTTAACTTTTGTAATTTATCTTTGGCTGCTTTTACTATTGGTTCCAATTGTTAGAATTTTCACTTTAATACAAGATTTCTTACCACCAAGCCAAGTCAAATTTATTCCACCGACTATTGGTTTCAATTTTCACTTTAATACAAGATTTCTTACCACCAAACCAAGTCAAATTTATTGGCATCGACTATTGGTTCCAATTGTTAGAATTTTCACTTTAATACAAGATTTTTGTACCACCAAGCCAAGTCAAATTTATTGGCACCGACTATATTGGTTCCAATTGTTAATTTTCAAATCAAGCTACCTGGGTCAGGCTCCATCTTTCTTGCTTCCTGGAAAAATCTCAGTTGGAACTATGACAGTGAAACCATTGCTTCAGGAATTTCTTGTTCTATTTAATCCAGTAATTGTTTAAAGTTTAATCAGCGTGTGTGTTTCACTTTTTGTCTGTTAAACAAAAGAAAACTACGACATCACTGGCCTCAATTCCACCTATTTATTTAGTGTTAACAATGGAGTTCAGAAGAAAGAAATGGACCTTCTTTTTGATTACTGTCTTCTTTAGCCTTCTGCATTCATCTTCATCCAATCTTAACAACATGAATGATGGTAGTATAGAAAGGATTCATGTAGGGATGATTCTTGATATGCAATCCTGGGTTGGGAAAATTGTTGATAGCTGCATTTTCATGGCTATATCTGATTTTTACAGTCTGAATAGTAACTATAAGACAAAATTAGTTCCGCACAGGAAAGATTCTGAGGGTGATCCATTGCTTGCTCTATCCCGAGGTATGGTTGTCTTTCCTGAATGAAAAATTTTCTATTAATGGTTTATTTATTATTCTGTTATGAGTTATGACAGCGACCTCCACTATACTATTTTTTTTCCCTTTCATTGAACTATTTTGTATCCTGAAAATGAAAAAGTGCGTGGACATTGATGACAGGCAGTGATTTTTTTTTGTTTTTTCTCTTTTGGTCTCGGGGACACAAATTCAAGTGCAGCTTTGGTCCTCTTGGAAAGTGTAAAATTGCATGCCATTATTGTTGCAGAAAATTCAGCTGGAGTTAAGATTTTAGCAGAGTTAGGATCCACAGCAAAAGTTCCAATTATTTCTATCTCGGCAGATGGTCCATCCCTGTCCTTTTCTGAGTATCCTTATTTGATTCAAATTGGTCAAGATGAGTCCTCTCAAGCCAAAGGCATTGCTACCATTGTCGAATCATTTAGTTGGAAAAACATTATCCTCATTTATGAAGAAAATGATTCTGCAAGACAAATTCTTCCTAAAGTCCTCACTTCTCTTGAAGGGACTGATGTTCGTCTTGCCCTTCATATTGCCGTTTTAGCATCATCTACTGATGACGAAATCATTGAGTAGCTCGAGAAGCTCATGAGTTTGCAGACTACTGTGTATATGGTGCACATGTCACCCTCTCTTGCATCTCGCTTTTTCTTAAATGCCAAACAACTGGGAATGATAAGTCAAGGGTCTGCTTGGATTGCAACTGATATGATTATGAATTTCTTGCATTCAATGGAACCATCATTCATTGAGTCAATGCAAGGGGTGGTGGGGTTCAAACCTTACATTCCAACATCGAAGGAGCTTCGCAATTTCAATATAAGATGGAGGAGCAAAAATTTTATCAAAACTAAAAATTCACAGGAAATGGAGCTAAATGTCTATGGTATATGGACCTATGACATGGTTTGGGCTCTTGCAACAGCAGCAGAAAAGGTGAAGGCTGGACATCCTGATATCATACACCAAGAAACCGGATTGATTATGAACTTCACGACCATCCTCTCTTCAGAAAGTGGTTTGTTATTTATTGATGAGATATTACAGACTAGATTCAAGGGTATAAGTGGTGGCTTTCAACTTGCTAATGGCAGGCTGATCCCTAAGGAATTTGAAATAGTAAATGTATTCAAGGGAGAAAGAATAGTTGGTTACTGGACTCCAGAAAATGGAATTACCAAAATAACGAAGCAAGACAACCGATATGAGATGAATTCGACGTCATCCAGCAAACTTGAAGCTGTTATTTGGCCAGGAGGAAATATGAACACTCCAAAAGGTTGGCCTCTGTGTGGTAAGAAGTTGAGGATTGCGGTTCCAATGAAAAATGGCCGATTCAGCGAATTAATTAACGTCACTTTTGATCCCCAAACGAATGTAACAACTGTAAGTGGCTTCTGTGTAGATGTGTTTAAGGCAGCCATTGAAACTTTAGATTACGAGGTAAACTATGAGTTTATCCCGTTTGAAAATGCCAGCGGATCAGCGGATAGATACTACAGTGATCTTATCCATCAGGTTTATCTCAAGGTGAGAATGCTTTTCCAGGCAATAGCAGGTTGTAGAGTAGACTTGTAGTTAATGAGATTGCGAAATGTTAATGTTTAGCTTCTCCTTTCAAATTAATTAATATACATTCCCTTTCTTACGACATATTCTTTAATCTGATTATAGTAAATCACTATATAGTAATTGCAATGTGTGATTTACATATTCTTTCTTGTGATCAACGGAGTAGAATTATGATGCTGTTGTGGGAGATACAACAATCACCGCCAGCAGATTTTCAGAGGTTGATTTGACATTGCCATACACTGACTTAGGCGTTGGAATGGTAGTGCGAAAAACCAACAAAAACAATATGTGGATGTTCCTGAAGCCTCTTGCTAGGAATCTGTGGATAACCACTGCTGCTTTCTTTATTTTCACTGGCTTTGTGGTTTGGCTTATTGAACATCCCATCAACGATGAGTTCCAAGGCCAACCAGCTAAGCAAATTGGAACGATCTTTTGGTTCTTCTCAACTCTTGTATTTGCCCATAGAAAGTACTCTAAATATACATGTTGACTTAATGCACGTACGCTTTAATAACAATTAACTCAGAGCTAACTGCATGCAATCTTCTTACTACAATTCGAATCTGCAGGCGAGAAGCTCTTGAGCAACTTGTCAAAGTTTGTTGTCATAATATGGGTGTTCGTTGTGCTTATATTAAGCTCAAGCTATACTGCAACTTTGAGTACCATGTTAACAGTTCAACATATTCAATGGATCTCAATGGATGACTCCATAGGATATCATTCAGCTGTTTCACTCCAAGGAGCTGCTAACAACTTAAATTTTGAAAATCCGGGGGTAAAGATATACCAATCTCCAGAAGAATATGCCAATGGTTTAAAAATGGGAAGTAAGAACGGTGGTGTGTCTGCCATTATTAATGAAATACCATACATTAAAGTATTCCTTGCCAAGTACTCTGCTGATTATACCATGCTTAAATCCAATTCTACATCAGGCGGGTTCGGCTTCGTAAGTATTTTTTCAGAATCAAATCTAATTACTAAATGAAGCAATTAATATTCACCCATGATTTTAATTTGTTGATTGTCTTTGTAGGTTTTCCCTAAAGGTTCACCCCTGGTCCAAGACATTTCAGGTGCAATTTTGAGGCTAGGAGAGGAAGGAAAGCTGCAAATGATAGAAAATGCATGGTTCAACAGTGAATCAAGCTTTTCAAACCGGGACTCTACTACGACCAACCCCAGCAGCCTAAACCTTGATAGCTTTGGGGGTTTGTTTCTTATAACTGGGATCTGTTCAACTTCAGCTCTACTCATATGCATATATCAAAAACGTCGATCCCTGACAATCAGTGACTTCAAATTCTACCTACGCAGTAGCCTAGATACTGTAGATAGGTACTTCAATAAGTCCAAAATAATTGATGACACCTAAACTAAATTTTTGTCTGTTGGCCTAAGTTCACGGGACCTTTTCAAATAAATAAGCAAATAAGTTTCATTTGGGTTTTATGACTTGAATAGTAGTTTCTCTTTGATTTCTACGTCTCAATTATCAAGAGGAAGTCACTCAGTGAATTAAAAAAATTTTTAAAGTTACATTCTAAATTAAATATTACATTTATATCATTGATTAAATAATTAACAATTACAACATTAATAATCAACTAATAAATTATAATATAACTAAATAATCAAATTCACATACTAAAATCCTAAAATTTTAAAACCTTCTTTTACCACCAAATCAAGATCTCATTAACCTTTTGAAAAAAGTTCATATTTTTAATTTTTTTGTCAGATCATGAAAAAGACTATTATTCTACAATTTTAGACTAATTAATCGGTGACTAGAAATTTGAGACTAATTCAGCAATTAATGTTGGAGATTTTCCTTTTAATTGTAACATCGAATAAGCCAATTGGCATGACCCTTCTTCAAAACGTGAAATATGAAAAACGCGATAAAACTTAACAATGAGTTATTTTCAAGTGAATTTAGAAAAATATCATTTTAAGGCACTTATAAATATGTAAATAAAAAGTGCTTTTAGATATAAAAACAACGTTTTTGAAAAATGAAAACCTTTCATTGATTACATTTTACTTTCCTACTATCATAAAATTCCATAGCTTACAAACTGGATTAAAGTAGGAAAACTTGCAATTTGTACACAGTATATTTTATTTTAAGTTCAAAACGCATCAATATCTAAAGAAGGTAATGCAATATGTTTAACAAAGAATAAAGAAAAAGATAATTTATTAAAAAAATATAAAGGATAATTTTATCATAATAAAAAGTGTAAAAACACTTCCTCGAGTTTTTCGATTGATTTGAAGTCTATACATGGTTAAAACAATTTTTGGAATCAAACCACACTATCTTTAGAACTAATTTAATATTATTGTTGAAAGTAATTTTTGTATTTAAAAATTGTTTTTTACTTAGCTTTACTACTAAATAACGAAAAAAATGACTTTTCAACTAAATGCTTTATTTTTACTGTAAATGCTTGTCTTTTAAAAATAAACAATTATTTTAATGAAATTATCTAAACCACTATCTTAATACAAAATTAAAATCAATTAAAAGAATAGCCACCCAAATCAAATTTATAGCATCGCTATGGTGCTTAAGATAGCTATTGAATGATAATCTTTTGTCTTGAACCCCAAAGCAAGCAAAGCTTTTTTTTATTTTGGTCTGGAAACAAGGAAAAGCTTTGGTTCTTGCAGCCGTCCGCCAGGACCACAAAGGACAACGTCATAATCTAGCAACTTGGAGCATTTTAGTGATTTTATCCCTACTTTTAAGGAATAAAAGAAAATTTAAACGCTCAAATTGGTATATATAATATTTAGAATGATTTTAATTATTGATCAAACGTTTTATTTTATATAATAAAAAATTAACGTTTTTGAATGTGTCAAATAAGAATTTCCTGTAACAGAAAAGTGAAAGTGAGCAGCACGCTCCGTTAACTAGGGTGAAATCTTAAAATTTAATGCTGACATGTCAATTTTTGCCCATTTGGCATGACATGGGCTCATTTATTAGATTTTGGGCACTTAAAAAAAAGTCTAACATTAAAAATTAAAGAATTAAACCTAAATTTATAACAAAATCATAAATTAAAGCAAATTATTATTGGAAAGAAAATTGTTCTGCATAATTGAATTACAGAAGAAAGCTAAAAACCTAGCTTTTCTTTTAAATAAAAATACAAAAACCTAGATTTTCTCTTCTCGCCTTTCTATTTTTACATGATTTTTTTATCGAATTGAAAAAAAATTAAAATCCCTACGCGAAGATCACCCTTAGTCTGATTGAAAAAAAAAAGATTTTGAATAAAAAATAGTACAATCCTAAAATCCCCAACTTCGTTGCACATAAACCCTAATAAGACCCAAAAAAACACAAACATAAAGATTCAAACAGATTGAATTAAATTCAGTTTAATTTTTTAAATATTATATAATATTATAAATTAAAATTTTTTTAATTTAAATTGATTTTTTATTTAATCCAATTCAAATCAAATTAAATTTTTTAAATTCAATTTAATTTAGTCTATTAACTTTTGAAATTAAATTTTTTATTTTTTTATATATTATTTTTATATAAAAATTTAATTTATTTAAATAAATTTTGATATAAAATTATTATTTTTATTTTATAAAAATTTAAAAAATATATAAAAATATATAATTCAGTTAAATTTATTTTTATATTTTTTATCTTTTAATTCAAAATTCAATTTAAATTTAAAATTTAAATTTAATCTGAATGAAATAAAAATATTCAATCCTAATGGAATCAACGACAATAATTTCAAATGGTTTCGATTTTCTTTATTTTTTTCTCAACCCTTTCCCAGGCGATATTTTTTTTCTCACCCCTTCCCCAGGCAACGAAGACACCGTAGCACTCATCACATCCTTTCGGACTCAATTTGAGACCCGAATCCAAACCACTAAAGAAACTCAGCCATGGAGACCCAGCATCCCTCTCTTCGCATCGTCTCCTCCTTCGACCACCGCTCCATCCCCTCCTCACACCCAAAAAGATCTCCCACCACCCAACATCTACTATCCCATTCTGAAGCAACTCGCCCTTGTTAAACCTGAACAAGTTGATAAAACCGTTGACAAGATTCAAACTTTGTTTATGGAGCTGGCTGCATCCTACGGTTACGGAGAAAGGAAAAAATAAAAAACATATGGGTTGAGATACGTGCATTTAGTAAGACAAAATTGGAAGGGCAGAAGAAGAAAGAGAGAAAAAAACAAAAATAGTTTGATCTTTTTTAAAAATAAATCTTATTTTAATTTTTTCACCTGCACACGTGACTTTTCTTCTTGCCACCTATATTATTAATAGATTTAATGGACGCGTGTATTGCACTTTCGACTTTCCTTTACAAAATTTCCTTATTTAACATATCCAAAAATGTTTGATTTTAATTTAAATTAAATAAAATATTTGATCGTTAATTCAAAATCATCCGAATCTAAAATTAAGCATTTAGTCTTAAAAAAACAAAAGCATTTGACCGTTAAACCCACGCCCACTGCACCTCGCATCCAAATTGACTCCCCACTAACCTTGGAAAATGACCCTTTTAAACATCCCTTCCTTCCTAACTGTACGTTTCCTTCACGCGCTGTAAAGCAGCGGTAACAATCAGGTACAGTTGTGCACAGTGCAAGGATCTAATCTTATTTGGTCTTGTACTTATGTGCTTTTGGTCTTTCAATCTTATAGTGTGCCGTACGATACAACGTCTTAAGATTTGGACCGTTGGATCAATCCCTTTGTATCTTGATCCTTGACAAAGAGGCGGATTTCGAAACGGTACCTTCATATCATCAATTGCAATTATGCAAGAGCTCTTTTCAAACCTTTTAATTATCACTAATTATTAACCTTTTTTCTTAATATAGTATTTTTCTTTTTTTAAAATTTTTTTTCTTTTCCTGGAATTGGATGGAAAACTGTTGGAATTCTCCATTGTTTTCATCTACCATTTTTTAATCATTAATCTTTTGTTTTCTTCTTTTTTTTTTTTTTTTTTTTTTCTGGAGAAACGCTTCCTTCTTTTCTCCTTTTTCTTTCCACCAAAAGTTTTGTTTTTGACTATGCAGCAGTGCAAATTGCCTAGTGGGTACTTTCTGCTTCATATATGATTTGTAATGTTTTTTCCTGCTTGAAGAATTGGGTTTGGATCTGGGAATTCAGGTTCAAGGTTGTTCTTCATCAAGGTTTTCTGAACTTTGTTTTATGCTCTCTCTTTTTCTGTGAATTTTAAGGTTAGGGTTTTTTATGCTTGTAAAGTTCTAGCATATTTTAAGTCTTTTTGCTTTTAATTGTTTTCCTAAGACCTTTTTTTTTTTTTTTTTAGCTTTGAGTGAGGAAAACTCATCTTTGTTTCTTCTAGAAATCTTAATAATGCCTTAGTTTGGACCTTATTTTTAGGTCTTTTTTTTTAAACGGACTTGGTCTTGGTTGCTGAGAAATATGGAGAAAACAAAGACTAGAAAAATTTTGGTTTATTTGCTCTTTTTTTTTTTTTTTTGATGTGTGTGTGTGTTTTAACAATATTATTGGCTATTTTTTTAGTAAAAAATTTGCAAATCTTAAGATATTTGATCAGTTTTTTAAATTGCTTATCCTTAGTCCTTAGAAATTGTTTATCGCTGAAGCTAGGCCTTTATAATATATGTGCATGATTACATCTAAAAGTTCCCTCTTTTTCCATCGGCTTGTCCAGCTAGGGAGACTCTGGTGGCCTTTTGGTGATAACTAGCTACATCTATAACGAAAACTATAGATAGGATGGGAAAGGTTCCTAGGATATTTCTTTGTAAATTTAGATCAAAGTTGTCATCGGTCACTGCATGTGATATTACTTACTTTCAGAATCAGTGCTTTCAAAATTATGTTTTATGGAACTATCTTGTCTCGAATCCTATGCTGTTACCTGATATTTTGACTTTTTATTCTCCTTATATGTTACTATTATCCAAAGCTCAAATTCCTGTCTGTTAAAAGGAAACCCCATCTCCTTTCATGTTTGAAAAGAATCCATATTTCTGTCAGCACTACTATATGTTTCAGACAGTATTATACCTTTGTGTTTTTGGTACTATTCATGGGAATCTGATGATTTTTTATCTTTGTTTTTCTTCGAGTGTCATAACTGATGATGTTTATGAATATAAGATATTGGTGACTTCAAAGAAATGTTCTTAGATTTCACGTTGTCTATACAGATTTTGCTCATAGTGGATTATGTAATTATAAAAGTTTTCTGCATGTATTTACATGATTTTTTTACATTTATCTCTAATTTTTCAGGATTGCTAGAATCATGAGTTTTGGATGCATTTCTACTGCTTTGGAGTCAATGGAAACTGAATTTATGATGTTCTATGACAGTCATACTACAAAACGGCATGTACTTTCTAAGTCAGTGAGCAAATCATTATGGTTAGAGCATCTTTCCTATTAAGCAATGCTTCTCTGCAACATATTCTTGATATGTCTTTTTATTTTTTTTTTGCAGATTTTATTTTGAGATTTGACATATTATCAAATGACAATGAGAGAGAGCACGCTTGTTTCCATTTATGTAAGGACATAGATGTGTACAAGCGTGCTCTCTATCGTTGTCATATGATTTGTATAAAATTGTCTTTTCTCAATACCTATCTCTGTTGCCGCAAAACAGGTGACTTTAATTTTCTTATTCAGTTAGAATTTGAATTTTGTGATAATTCTTTTAATGAAACATTAATCATCGGTTTATTGTTATTGTCGTAATTATCCATGTGTGTCTGATCATTTATCTAATGTTTTATCTACATATATGTATTTTTTTGTCTAATCATTCATTAACTCCTGATATACTTTTTAACTTTGATATATATATTTGTAATCCATTCCTCGTTGTTGGTGAGTCTACAACGATCTGCTTCTCAAGATGCAATAATTGCTCTATACAAATGGTTTTTCTGCTTTGCACCTTTAGGGCACAGGTTAAGTTATTTCTTTGAGAAATATTTTTGCTTTCATTGCATTGAAAATTAAATGCAATACAAGCCTTAAAATAGGTACTTTCTGCTTCATATATGATTTGTAATGTTTTTTCCTGGTTGAAGAATTGGGTTTGGATCTGGGAATTCAAGTTCTAGGTTGTTCTTCATCAAGGTTTTCTGAACTTTGTTTTATGCTCTCTTTTTCTGTGAATTTTAAGGTTAGGGTTTTTTATGCTTGTAAAGTTTTAGCATATTTTAAGTCTTTTTGCTTTTAATTGTTTTCCTAAGACCTTTTTTTTTTTTTTTTTTGGCTTTGAGTGAGGAAACCTCATCTTTGTTTCTTCTAGAAATCTTAATAATGCTTTAGTTTGGACTTTATTTTTAGATCTTTTTTTTTAAAACCGACTTGGTCTTGGTTGCTGAGAAATATGGAGAAAACAAAGACTAGAAAAATTTTGGTTTATTTGCTCTTTTTTTTGTTTTTTTTTTGCTGTGTGTGTGTTTTAACAATATTATTGGCTATTTTTTTAATAAAAAATTTGCAAATCCTAAAATGTTTGATCAGTTTTTTAAATTGTTTATCCTTAGTCCTTAGAAATTATTTATGGCTGAAGCTAGGCCTTTATAATATATATGCATGATTACATCTAAAAGTTCCCCCTTTTTCCATCAGCTTGTCCAGCTGGGGAGACTCTGGTGGCTTTTTGGTGATAACTAGCTGCATCTATAACGAAAACTATAGATAGGATAGGAAAGGTTCCCAGGATATTTCTTTGTAAATTTAGATCAAAGTTTTCATCTGTCACTGCATGTGATATTACTTACTTTCAGAATCAGTGCTTTCAAAATTATGTTTTATGGAACTATCTTGTCTCGAATCCTATGCTGTTACCTGATATTTTGACTTTTGATTCTCCTTATATGTTTTTAATTATCCAAAGTTCAAATTCCTGTCTGTTAAAAGGAAACCCCATCTCCTTTCATGTTTGAAAAGAATCCATATTTCTGTAAGCACGACTATATGTTTCAGACAGTATTATACCTTTGTGTTTTTGGTACCATTCATGGGAATCTGATGATTTTTTTTCTTTGTTTTTCTTCGAGTGTCATAGCTGATGATGTTTATGAATATAAGATATTGGTGACTTCAAAGAAATGTTCTTAGATGCCACTTTGTCTATACAGATTTTGCGCATAGAGGATTATGTAATTATAAATGTTTTCTGCATGTATTTACATGATTTTTTTACATTTATCTTTAATTTTTCAGGATTGCTAGAATCATGAGTTTTGGATGCATTTCTACTGCATTGGAGTCAATGGAAACTGAATTTATGACGTTCTATGACAGTCATATTACAAAACGGCTTGTACTTTCTAAGTCAGTGAGCAAATCATTTTTTTAGAGCATCTTTCCTGTGAAGCAATGCTTCTCTGCAACATATTCTTAATGTCTTTTTTTTTTTTTTTTTTTTGCAGATTTTACTTTGAGATTTGACATATTATCAAGTGACAATGAGAGAGAGCACGCTTGTTTCCATTCATATAAGGACATGAATGTGTACTGGTGTGCTCTCTATTGTTGTCATATGATCTGTACAAATTATCTTTTTTCAGTATCTATCTCTGTTGTCGCAAAACAGGTGACTTCTAACTTTCTTATTCAGCTAGAATTTGAATTTTGTGATAATTCTTTTAATTAAACATTAATCATCAGTTTATTGTTATTGTCGTAATTATCCATGTGTGTCTGATCATTTATCTAATATTTTATGTACATATATGTATTTTTTTGTCTAATCATTCATTAACTCCTGATATACTTTTTAACTTTGATATATATATTTGTAATCCCTTCCTTATTGTTGGTGAGTCTGCAATGATTTGCTAAAGATGCAATAGTTGCTCTATACAAATGGTTTTTCTGCTTTGCGCCTTGAGGGCACAGGTTAAGTTATTTCTTTGAGAAATATATTTGCTTTCATTGCATTGAAAATTAAATGCAATACAAACCTTAAAATTCTTGTTTAATAGGTCATTTTAACCTATGCACAGGTAGAAAAAAAAAAACATTTGCAAGATGTATTGAATTTGTCAAAGAGAGAGATGGATTTTATTTCTTTGATATCATGGCAAGGTCTTTCAACACACACTTCGAATACTGAGGCACAGCTTATGATAAATATATGAAGATAATAAATCTTTAGTAAATGATAACATAATTAAGCACTAAAGATCATTTTTCAAACTTAATCTTGAACTTTAAATAAGTTCTAGAAGGCACCTGCATCATTAGTGTATTAAGTAATGAATTGAAGCTGGTACTTATTCTCCAATATAATATTCTAATGAGCTAATCTTATTTAGTTTTTTTAAAAGCAACTATCATTATAATTGCCACCATTGTTGTACCACCACCGATTCTTGTTTCACTACCATCCTTGCCATGAAAATAAGTGTAGCTACTTTCACTACTATAATTTTTAATGATTCTGCTAGCATTGGGTCTATAATGACAACTACTGTAACCATTAGATGTTCAGTTTAAAATATTAAAGATGGGCTTTGGTAGGTATCTTGTAGATAGGAAGTGTCTGTCTTGGATATCTTACTTGATATCAATATAAAATTACTGGTGATCGAGTGATTTGTTTTTTGTAGTAAGAAAGGTGCTTTTGTCCAAAAATTTTCCCTTATCTTTACAAATTGGTTATGAGATATGAATCTTCTTAAGTTTGATTGACTCTTAATTAGTTAAACAAAGCAGTTAAGATTACCAACAAGACATAAAAGTGCTTTTTTCAAGATTTTTACACTATATTTTTCCTTTATTCTTTTCCTTGGACTGGTTAAGTGTTTTTTCTCAACTTCTATTGGAAAAAAAAATTAGAGAAATTTGTTTGGGTTATTCTTTATCTAAAATGGACTATATTGCTCAAATAAAGGTCTTTTGGATTAACAGGTTTATTTGTAATGTAAATTTTATGTTTTCTTTATTGAAATTTATCATATTTGTTTAATTTGACGAAATAATTTTCTAGACGACTGGCTAATTGCAATAAGATTTTGTCTTATAATTCTCATTTATAAGTTTTAGTGTGAATAATTTGTTTTTACTTTACCATTCTCTAGGTGAGATCTAAACTTTAATCACTCAGATGATGTGGATTTAAGGGAATGAAGTTATTTCCCTCACTAGAAAAAAGAAATGGAAAACTTAATGAGATATTAGATCCAAGTAGCTATATGTATTATTTGTTTTGTTCCAAGTATTTAATTAATTAAAGTTATGTTCTTAGGATTGTACTTTGTATCTACTAAAATAGCTAGATTCAGTGGTCCTCTTTTCCTCATTGCACTGATACACACTTATATTAAGAAAGTTGTATCATTGTTAAGATAATATAATGTGATTTTGGTGTGTTGCAGGTTTTTGTTTATAGTTTGTGTTTATTTTCACAGTCATGTTAAGTTGTTATTGTTAGTTTTGATCCATAGTGATTATTTTTGGCATATTTGAATGATTGTATGATGTTCTTTTATATATTGTCAACATTTAAGACAAATTATTCCTTAGATTCCTAATGTAGTAACTATTCATGCTGGCTTTGCAATTTCCTTTTTTGTTTCAAGATTATAAGGTCTATTCTTCTTTTAATTCCATTGTTCTTTGTAGGCTATATACATATCTGGCTTATATGCTGTACGTTGTATAAGAGTTTCCTCATCACCTTGATTTTCGTTGATGTGAAAGATAAGTTTGTCTAGGTAACTTTTTTGCCTGTGCTTTTTGGATGTGTATTATATTTTATAATAACTTTTATTGAAATTTCTACTTGAAGAAGTAAAAATTATTATTGAAAAGTGTTTGATGATTCCTAATATAAAATGGAATAGATTGCTTATTTTATTTTTTGAAGATGTATAATATGGAAATTCTATGTTTTCTTCAGTGAAATTTATCACAAGATTCATAACATTTAAAATTGACATAAAATCAAAAAAATGCCTGATGAATTCAAAAGGAAAATACTTTGGAGATCTTTTGAAGGTAGGTTTATCCCAAGGCTAATAAAGATATCATTAATATACTAGTTTTATTGGCCATGCAAGCATCGGATGCCATTTTTATCTATTTGGATTTGATAATAAAAATATTTGTATGTCAATAATGTTCTTTAGCATGATAAATAACTAACATGAAGCAAAGCATTAATAGTATTAATTATCCTATCTTAATAGTACAGGTGGCTTAATAGATTGATAGGAAAACTCAATTACATGACTGCTAGCACCATTTGGTTTAAAGAACCAAAATAAGACTCTTGAGTCAATTTTGATAATATAATCTAAATGATATGATTATAATCTTTGTTATAGTCAGTTTTGTAAGATATAGAAGTAATCATAGACAAATTTAAAGTTTGGGCTTTGAACAGTAATAATCTAATATAATCTCCATGATCGATGAATGGGATTTCAGACGCCTAACTGGCTTGCCCCATTATTGTTTGCTGAAGTTTTAGGGCTTTTAGTTTACCTAAGTTAAGGTTCATTTTAAACTCTAATAATGATTTTAGTATGATAGTTTTTGTCAGTTTGATTTTTAAAGTAGTCTAAAAAGTCTTTATAAGTACCTATTTGATCTTCATCTTCCGCTAGGATTTTGTTTAATGAAATTGTAAGTGCTTTGTTTTCATTAGGCATGCATGCTTACTGAAATGTCTTATACTCTTGCTCTCTTCTACATCTTTTTCTCTCTTTTTTGCTATGGCATTCTCAGCATGCCGATCATTGCACAAAATAGCCCTTTAAACTGCTACATTCAAATTCTTTTGTTGCATGAATTTCTTGCACTCTTTTGATTCTCAATTGGTTCAAACTAGAATTGATTACTAAACTTTAAAATTTAGTTCTACCATTGTAAAATCTAAAATCCTTTTCTACCCTTAGGCCACCATCATAAGCCCTATTGTGGTAGGTTTCCCCTAATTTGTTCTACTGAACGCATATTTTGACGTAGAATGTATTAATAACATGTATTAGTGTATGACTATCATGTTGGTTTGAAATGCAAACGCATGTAGAGGAAATGACTTTATTAAAGATATTCATAGATAATACAAACAAATTTTAATTACTAAAAGAAATTTATAAATTTTGTTTTAGTTTCTTGATATTGTTAAATCTTGTTTGAAAAAACTGATAAATTTATTTAGAAAATTTGTTGGGATATCTACATATATTGAATTTATCTGGTTTAAGATGAAGGTTTGTTAATCTACTATAATTGGTTTTTATATTTGTATAAATTAAAGAATTGGGTTTATTTATTTTCTGTAAGATAGGTGATGTGTAGACACAAAAACTCTAATACTGTGTTTGATAGGAGGGAAAGAGTCTTTCAACCATTTCATTTGTTTAGTAGGAAGGAAATAGAAAGAAGGAAAATGAGTGGATTTATACCTTTCCTTTCTCTCCAAATCCAATCTTTCCAAATGTGGGAAGAAAATACTTATTCAACTTAAATTAACAACTTAAATTAATACTTATACATATAGAACACTTATAAAAATAAATTTACTAATCATCATCTTTTATTCATAAAAATAAATTTACTAATCATCATCTTTCATTCTCTTTCAATTTCAATTTAATTAAAAAATTTCTCAAATTCTTATTTCTCACCAAATTTTTCTCTTAAATTTTTATCTAAATATCAAATAAAAAAATAATTTTATTATTTTTAAACACCATCACATGACCCAATATTCTCTGTTTCTTCTCTATCTACTTCATTCTTTTTGCCTCTTGTTTCCTTCATTTATTTCTTTACATCCCTTTCAATTCCCTCATCTCACGATACACTAATCCACCTTATGTTACACCCATACATTTTGCTTATAGCGACTTTAGCAGTTTGTTTTTGTCGTTATTTTTCATTGTGTCGCTATTTGCTATCACGAAAAATCATTATGTGTGTCAATCGATTCTCATACCTTAATAACAGTGGATAACAATTTCAGTGGGTGCCACTATCGCAGCATAGCAGTTACTATTTCGTAACCCAACAACTTTTTAATTCCCTGGTCTTGAGTTTAAAATGCTAGGTATTCTAGCAATTTCTAGAGATATAGAAATTGCAAGCTTTTGGAGCAAGAAATTAAAAGGCAATTAGATTACGGAATAACGACTGCTATTTTACGATAATGGCACCCACCGAAACCATTATCCATTTCATTAAGGTGTGAAAACCAATTCACACACATAACGGTCTTTCATGATCGTAAATAGCAGCACAATGAAAAATAGCAGCAAAAACGAACCACTATAGATGCTATCAAGTCTGAAAAGAAAGAAAAAAACTAACCTCAAATCACAACAATCAATCAACAACTACTTTATGTTTCAATTTACAAATAAAAGAAGGAATTAATCTAAAGGAATAACAAGATATTCACATTTTGTTGCTCTTTTAGAAATTTTGTAATCCTTTTTAATTGTAACAATGGTATAGGTTCTTTCTCTTTTTTAATCTTGATAGAGATGAGAGGAGATTTGAAGGTAGAATTGAAGCAAAAGGTATGGGTTTAACATGAGGTGGTTTGTTATATATTATGAAATGAGAAAATTGAAAGGGATGCAAAGAAAATATATCGGAAAGAAAGAGGCATGGGAAATTAAGTAGGTACAAAAGAAATAGAGGATATTGGTTCACATGATGGTGTTTAAAAATAATAAAATTAATTTTTTTATTTTATTGTTTAGATAAAAATTTGAGAGGAAAATTATTTAAATTGAAATTGAAAGAGAATGAAAGATAATTATTAGTAACTTTATTTTTATAAGTGTTTATATGCATAAGTATTATTTAAAAATAATTAATTTTACATTAAAATTTTGTTATAATTAATTTTATTTTTAATTGCATTTTTTTGTTTAATTAAAGTTAAGTTGCTAACTATTGATTTAATTTGTTAATTGATAAAATAAAATTTTCATTTATTACATATTTTTAATTAATTTCACATATGATACTATTATTTAATTCTATTTAGTTATATTAGTCATGTTTGTAAATTTTGTGTATATCTTATTGAATAACTTTTAAATGAGTATATTCACTATTAAGCTATAATACTAAAAAAATGTTCAATAATTGATTTTATCATATAACAAATGTAATTAAAATGTCTTAAAATTTTTTAAAATGAAATATTTAAATGAAGTTGATACCATTTTAGGAATTAAAGTTAAGAGATATAACTAGGGTTTCATACTTAATCAAAGTCATTATATTAAGAAACTACTTAATAAGTTTAAGTATCTTAATATAAAAGAAGCCAATACTTCATATGATACACGTATAAAATTAACAGAAAATCAAGGTTATATAATTGTACAACTTGAATATGCTAGTGCTATTAAAAGTATTATGTATGTTATGCTTTATACTAGGCCAGATATAGCTTTTGCTATTTGTAAGTTATTAAGATATACAAGTAAGCCTAGTACAAGTCATTAAAAACCATAGGAAGAGTTCTAGGTTATCTTAAAAAAACTAAAGATTTTGGCTTATTTTATTCTAAAGAGCCAGCTATTTGAAAAGATATTCAGATGCAAGTTGAATCACTAGTATAAGTGATAATAAATTCACTTCAAGATGAATGCTTACCCTTGGAGGTGGTGCAATTAGTTGGGCATCCAAGAAATAAACTTGCTTTTCACATTCAACTATAGAATCTGAATTTATAGCTTTAGTTGCAGTAGGCCAAGAAGCTAAATGGCTAAGAAATTTATTAATGAATATAGAGTTATGGCCACAACCAATGACAACCATTTCCTTATACTGTGATAGTGACGCTACTATGTCTAGAGCTTATAGTTAAATTTATAATGAAAAATCTAGACATATTAGTTTAAGACATGATTATATCAGAGAATTGATAAAAAATGAGGTAATTACCATCATATATATTAAATCTACTAACAATTTAGCAGATCTTCTTACTAAGGCGCTATCTAGAAATTTGGTAAGAAGCATCATAAGTGAAATGGGTTTAAAATTCCTTTTAGATACCAATAATGGGAACCTAACTTTGAATTAGTAACCTTTAATTGCAAAGTTTAATAGGTAACAACAAGTTATTGTTATGTGTCTGTAAACACTAGTCAACCCATTCTAAATATTTAGAATACTAGTGTAAGCCATTGCATAAATGGAGGATGAGATTGAACTCTTAATGAAGTTTATAATTAAATGTTTATAGCAATGGAGACATAAACAAAAAACTTCACCTATATAAGGATAAGCACATGGCCATAATAGTGCTAAAACGGTTATAAACCTCTGGCAGAATATTAAATAAGTATCATGTGTGTCATATCTTCAAATTTAACACTAGAAGTTGAGGTTTAATCTGTGGACACCGTAAACTTTGTTAAAATTCTAAGTTATATACGCTAATTGAAAGTCTAAATCGAAAGATGCATTTTTGTATTCATAATATTTATTTATATGAAAGGTTAAAGTTAAACACTAACATTTCAAACTAGTGAGAGATTGTTGGTAGTTTAAAATGTGGTGTATCTCATACTGAGTAGAAAGATCATTATTTATGTTATTTAAGTAATTGAGCTAAGTAGTGGAGTGAGCCAAATCATTTATGCTTGCTAGAAGTTTTTTTAGTGGGTCAAATAATTTTAAAAGTCAAAAATAGGTACTTGGGCACTTGGAGCACTTAGGCTTGTTTGATAAATAGATTTAATTTTTACAATTTTTTTAATTTATTTCAGAATATTACTAATTCTGAATAAACATATTTAAATAGTGAAAAAAATTATGGTACGAATAAACATATCTAAATAAAAAAATATAATTGTTTAAATAAAATTTATTTAAATAATAAAATATGACTATATAAAAATCATGATTTTTTGAATTGATTTGATTGTTTACTGTTAATTTATTATAAATAAATCTTTTTAATTAGTTCTGCGCAAGAGAGATTCTGAGGGTGATCCATTGCTTGCTCTATCCCGAGGTATGTTTGTCGTTCCTGAATGAAAAATTTTCTATTAATGGTTTATTTATTATTCCATTGTGACTTATGACAGCGACCTCCACTATACTATTTTCTTTCCCTTTCATTGAACTATTTTGTATCCTGAAAATGAAAAAGTGCATGGACATTGATGACAGGCAGTGATTTTTTTTTTCTCTTTTGGTCTCATCGACACATATTCAAGTGCAGCTTGGTCCTCTTGGAGAGTGTAAAATTGCATGCCAATATTGTTGCAGAAAATTCAGCTGGAGTTAAGATTTAAGCAGAGTTAGGATCCAGAGCAAAAGTTCCAATTATTTCTATCTCTGCGGATGGTCCATCCCTGTCCTTTTCTGAGTATCCTTATTTGATTCAAATTGGTCAAGATGAGTCCTCTCAAGCCAAAGGCATTGCCACCATCGTTGAAGCATTTAGTTGTAAAAACATTATCCTCATTTATGAAGATAATGATTCTGCAAGAGAAATTCTCCCTAAAGTCATCACTTCTCTTGAAGGGACTGATGTTCGTCTTGGCCATCATGTTGCCGTTTTAGCATCATCTACCGATGACGAAATCATTGAGCAGCTCCAGAAGCTCATGAGTTTGCAGACTGCTGTGTACATGGTGCACATGTCACCCTCTCTTGCATCTCGCTGTTTCTTAAATGCCAAACAACTGGAAATGATAAGTCTAGGGTCTGCTTGGATTGCAACTGATATGATTATGAATTTCTTGCATTCAATGGAACCATCATTCATTGAGTCAATGCAAGGGGTGGTGGGGTTCAAACCTTACATTCCAACATCGAAGGAGCTTCGCAATTTCACTATAAGATGGAGGAGCAAAAATTTTATCAAAACTAAAAATTCACAGGAAATGGAGCTAAATGTCTATGGTATATGGACATATGACATGGTTTGGGCTCTTGCAACAGCAGCAGAAAAGGTGAAGGCTGGACATCCTGATATCATACACCAAGAAACCAGATTGATTATGAACTTCACGACCATCCTCTCTTCAGAAAGTGGTTTGTTATTTATTGATGAGATATTACAGACTAGATTCAAGGGTATAAGTGGTGGCTTTCAACTTGCTAATGGCAGGCTGATCCCTAAGGAATTTGAAATAGTAAATGTATTCAAGGGAGAAAGAATAGGTTACTGGACTCCAGGAAATGGAATTACCAAAATAACGAAGCAAGATAACCGATATGAGATGAATTCGACATCATCCAGTAAACTTGAAGCTGTTATTTGGCCAGGAGGAAATATGAACATTCCAAAAGGTTGGTCTCTGTGTGGTAAGAAGTTGAGGATTGCGGTTCCAATGAAAAATGGCCGATTCAGCGAATTAATTAACGTCACTTTTGATCCCCAAACGAATGTAACAACTGTAAGTGGCTTCAGTGTAGATGTGTTTAAGACAGCCATTGAAACTTCAGATTACGAGGTAAAGTATGAGTTTATCCCGTTTGAAAATGCCAGCGGATCAGCGGCTAGATACTACAGTGATCTTATCCATCATGTTTATCTCAAGGTGAGAATGCTTTTCCAGGCAATAGCAGGTTGTAGAGTAGACTTGTAGTTAATGAGATTGCGAAATGTTAATGTTTAGCTTTTCCTTTCAAATTAATTAATATACATTCCCTTTCTTTTGACATATTCTTTAATCTGATTATAGTATATCACTATATAGTAATTGCAATGTGTGATTTACATATTCTTTCTTGTGATCGACGGAGTAGAATTATCTTGCTGTTGTGGGAGATACAACAATCACCGCTGGCATATTTTCAGAGGTTGATTTCACATTGCCATACACTGACTTAGGAGTTGGAATGGTAGTGCGAAAAACCAACAAAAACAGTATGTGGATTTTCCTGAAGCCTCTTGCTGGGAATCTGTGGATAACCACTGCTGCTTTCTTTATTTTCACTGGCTTTGTGGTTTGGCTTATTGAACATCCCATCAACGATGAGTTCCGAGGCCCACCAGCTCAGCAAATTGGAACGATTTTTGGTTCTCCTTCTCAACTCTTGTATTTGCCCAAAGTAAGTACTCTAAATATACATGTTGACTTAATGCATGTACGCTTTAATTACAATTAACTCAGAGCTAACTGCATGCAATCTTCTTACTACAATTCGAATCTGCAGGCGAGAAGCTCTTGAGCAACTTGTCAAAGTTTGTTGTTATAATATGGGTGTTCGCTGTGCTTATACTATGCTCAAGCTATACTGCAACTTTGAGTACCATGTTAACAGTTCAACATATTCAATGGATCTCAATGGATGACTCCATAGGATATCATTCAGCTGTTTCACTCCAACGAGCTGCTAGCAACTTAAATTTTGAAAATCCGAGGGTAAAGATATACCAATCTCCAGAAGAATATGCCAATGCTTTACAAATGGGAAGTAAGAACGGTGGTGTGTCTGCCATTATTGATGAAATACCATACATTAAAGTATTCCTTGCCAAGTACTCTGCTGATTATACCATGCTTAAATCCAATTCTACATCAGGCGGGTTCGGCTTCGTAAGGATTTTTTTCAGAATAAAATCTAATTACAAAATGAAACAATTAATATTCACCCATGATTTTAATTTGTTGATTGTCTTTGTAGGTTTTCCCTAAAGGTTCACCCCTGGTCCAAGACATTTCAGGTGCAATTTTGAGGATAAGAGAGGAAGGAAAGCTGCAAACGATTAAATAATTAACAATTACAACATTAAATAATCAACTAATAAATTATAATTTAACTAAATAATTAAATTCACATACTAAAATCTTAAAATTTTAAAACTTTCTTTTACCACCCAATCAAGATCTCATTGACCTTTTGAAAAAAAAATTATATTTATATGTATTTCTTTTGGATCATAAAAAAGATTATTATTCTACAATTTAGACTAATTAATCGGTGACTAGAAATTTGAGACTAATTCAACAATTAATGTTGGAGATTTTCCTTTTAATTGTAACATCGAATAAGCCAATTGGCATGACCCTTCTTCAAAACGTGAAATATGAAAAACGCGATAAAACTTAACAATGAGTTATTTTCAAGTGAATTTAGAAAAAATATCATTTTAAGGCACTTATAAATATGTAAATAAAAAGTGCTTTTAGATATAAAAACAACGTTTTTGAAAAATGAAAACCTTTCATTGATTACATTTTACTTTCCTACTATCATAAAATTCCATAGCTTACAAACTGGATTAAAGTAGGAAAACTTGCAATTTGTACAAGGTATATTTTATTTTAAGTTCAAAATGCATCAATATCTAAAGAAAAAGATAATTTTATTAAAAAAATAAAGGATAATTTATCATAATTTCAAAATAATAAAAAATGTCAAAACGCTTCCTCGAATTTTTCGATTGATTTGAAGTCTATACATAGTTGAAACAATTTTGGAATCAAATCACACTATCTTTGGAACTAATTTAATATTATTGTTGAAAGTAATTTTTGTATTTAAAAATTATTTTTTACTTAGCTTTACTACTAAACAACGAAAAAAAAAATGACTCTTCAGTTTAAAAGTCTGACTTTGTAACTAAAATAAAAAGCACCTAAAATGTGCTTTTATAATAAAAAGTATTTTTGGATAAAATTATTAAATTGTCATATATTTTTAATATTTTATTATTTTATGTATATAATTTTAGACATTTTAATTACTCATGACATTTTTTTACAGCAATATTAAATACTTACTCTTTCCGTTTCAAAATATTTGTTATATATTGATTTTCATGAAATTTAAAAAAAAAATTTTGATTTTAATGTATTTAATATTAAATTTTAAATTTTTTTATAAAATTAAAGTTTCATGATTTTTAATATCAAAAAAATAAAAAAATCATAAAAATAATTTTAAAATATAAAAAATTAAAGGTTTTAGATATTCAAAAAAAATTATATAATTTTGAGACATCTCAAAATATATATATATATAAATTGGACAAAATAGTAGAATTTTTAATTACATTTTTAATCATATTTATAAACATATATTTTTCAATCACAACAGAATTGCATTTTGAGCGCCAAAGGCAATGCTAGACCAATCTTAGTTATTTATATTCTAAGTTTGATTTGATGAATAAAAAAAACGCGTCGACGTACAAAAATTTACTTACCGTTGTATTAACTTCTTTATTTATCTTAAACTAAATGCTTTATTTTTACTGTAAATGCTTGTCTTTTAAAAATAAATAATTATTTTAATAAAAATATTTAAAGAAATTATCTAAACCACTATCTTAATACAAAATTAAAATCAATTAAAAAAATAGCCACCAAATCAAAGTTGTAGCATCGCTATAGCATTAAGATAGCTATTGAATAATAATCTTTTGTCTTGAACCCCAAAACAAGGAAAGTATTTTTTTTCTGGTCTGGAAACAAGGAAAAGCTTTGGTTCTTGCAGCTATCCGCCAGGACCACAAAGGACAACGTCGTAATCCAAGCAGCTTGGAGCATTTTAGTGATTTTATCCCTACTTTTAAGGAATAAAAAAAAATTAAATGCTCAAATTGGTATATATAATATTTAGAATGATTTTAATTATTGATCAAACGTTTTATTTTATATAATAAAAATTTAACGTTTTTGAATGTACCAAATAAGAATTTCCTTTAATGAAAGTGAGCGGCACGCTCCGTTAACTAGCGTGAAATCTTAAAATTTAATGCTGACATGTCAATTTTTGCCCATTTGGCATGACGTGGGCTCATTTTTTTAGATTTTGGGCATTTAAAAAAAGTCTAAAATTAAAAATTAAAGAATTAAACCTAAATTTATAACAAAATCATAAATTAAAGCAAATTATTATTGGAAAGAAATCTGCATAATTGAAATAAAGAAGAAAGCTAAAAACCAAGCTCTTCTTGTAATAAAAAAACAAAAACCCAGATTTTCTCTTCTCGCCTTTCTATTTTTTCGTGATTTTTTATCAAATTGAAAAAAAAAAATCCGTACTCGAAGATCACCCTTAGTCTGATTGAAAAAAATAAGATTTCGAATAAAAAATAATACAATCCTAAAACCCCCAACTTCGTTGCACATAAACCCTAATAAGACCGAAAAAAACACAAACATAAAGATTCAAACAGATTGAATTAAATTTGATTTAATTTTTTAAATATTATATAATATTATAAATTAAAAATTTTTAATCTAAATCAAGTTTTTATGTGATCCAATTCAAATCAAATTAAATTTTTTTAATTTAATTTGATTTAATTTATTAATTTTTGAAATTAAATTTTATTTTTATATATTATTTATATATATAAATTTAATTTATTTAAATAAATTTTGATATAAAATTATTATTTTTATTTTATAAAAATTTAAAAATATATAAAAATTAATAAAAATATATAATTCAGTTAAATTTATATTTTATATTTTTTAATTTAAAATTCAATTTAAATTTAATCGAAATGAAATAAAAAAATTCAATCCCAATGGAATCAACCACAATAATTTCAAATGGTTTCGATTTTCTTTATTTTTTTCTCAACCCTTTCCCAGGCAATTTTTTTTTCTCACCCCTTCCCCAGGCAACGAAGACACCGTAGCACTCATCACATCCTTTAGGACCCAACTTGAGACCAGAATCCAAACCACCAAAAAAAACTCAGACATGGAGACCCAGCATCCCGCTCTTCGCATCGTCTCCTCCTTCAACCACCACTCCATCCTCTCCTCACACCCAAAAAGATCTCCCATCCACCCCAACATCTACTATCCCATTCTGAAGCAACTCGCCCTTGTTAAACCTGAACAAGGTGATAAAACCGTTGACAAGATTCAAACTTTGTTTATGGAGTTGGCTGCATCCTACGTTTACAAAGAAAGAAGAAAATAAAAAAATTAGGGGTTGAGATGCGTGCTTTTAGTGGGAAAAAAGTGGAGGGGCAGAAGAAGAAAGAGAGAGAAAAAAACAAAAATAATTTGATCTTTTTTAAAAATAAATCTTATTTTAATTTTTTTACCTCAAATGCACACGTGGCTTTTTTTCTTACCACCTATATTATTAATAGATTTAATGGACGCGTGTATTGCACTTTCGACTATCCTTTACAAAATTTCCTTATTTAACATATCCAAAAATGATTGATTTTAATTTAAATTAAATAAAATATGTGATCGTTAATGCAAAGTCATCCAAATCTATAATTAAGCAGTTAGTCTTAAAAAGACAAAAGCATTTAAACCACCTCACCTCCAAATTGACTCCCCACCAACCTTGCAAAATGACCCTTTTAAACATCCCTTCCATCCTAACTGTACGTTTCCTTCACGTTCTTTAAAGCCACGGTAACAATCAGGTACAGTTGTGCACAGTGCAAGGATCTAATCTTATTCGGTCTTGTACTTATGTGCTTTTGGTCTTTCAATCTTATGTTGTACCGTACGATACAACGTCTTAAGATTTGGACCGTTGGATCAATCCATTTGTATGATCCTTGACAAAGAGGCGGATTTCGAAACGATACCCTCATATCATCAATTGCAATTATGCAAGAACTCTCTTCAAACCTTTTAATTATCACTAATTATTAATCTTTTTTATTAATATAGTATTTTTCTTTTCCTGGAATTGGATGGAAAACTGTTGGAATTCTCCATTGTTTTCATCTACCATTTATTAATCATTAATCTTTTGTTTTCTTCTCTCTTTTTTTTTTAATTTATTTTTCTGGAGAAACGCTTCCTTCTTTTCACCTTTTTCTTTCCACCAAATGTTTTGTTTTTGACTATGCAGCAGGGCAAATGGCCTAGTGGGTACTTTCTGCTTCATATATGATTTTTAATGCTTTTTCCTGGTTGAAGAATTGGGTTTGGATCTGGGAATTCAGGTTCAAGGTTGTTCATCATCAAGGTTTTCTGAACTTTGTTTTAGGCTCTCTCTTTTTCTGTGAATTTTAAGGTTAGGGTTGTTTATGCTTGTAAAGTTTTAGCATATTTTAAGTCCTTTTGCTTTTAATTGTTTTCCTAAGACTTTTTTTTTTTTGGCTTTGAGTGAGGAAAACTCATCTTTGTTTCTTCTAGAAATCTTAATAATGCTTTAGTTTGGACTTTATTTTTAGGTCTTTTTTTTAAAACCGACTTGGTCGTGGTAGCTGAGAAATATGGAGAAAACAAAGACTAGAAAAATTTTGGTTTATTTGCTCTTTGTGTGTGTGTGTGTGTTTTAACAATATTATTGGCTATTTTTTCAATAAAAAATTTGCAAATCTTAAGATGTTTGATCGTTTTTTAAATTGTTTATCCTTAGTCCTTAGAAATTGTTTATGGCTGAAGCTAGGCCTTTATAATATATATGCATGATTACATCTAAAAGTTCCTCTTTTTCCATCAGCCTGTCCAGCTAGGGAGACTCTGGTGGGTTTTTGGTGATAACTAGCTGCATCTATAACGAAAACTATAGATAGGATAGGAAAGGTTCCCAGGATATTTCTTTGTAAATTTAGATCAAAGTTATCATCTGTCATTGCATGTGATATTGCTTATTT